AAATGTGTTTGCCTTTCTAGGAATCCCATTTTTTAACCCAAAGCAATCTAGATGGTCATTGGTTTCAAGATTAGTGCACAAGGGAAGAATAGCATGTGAAGGCCAACAGTCGATTAGGTCAATAGAGGAATGACATGTCATTTGACCTACCTGAGAGGTTAAATAGCACGTCCAGGCACACTCGGGAGAGGAGGAATCGAATCCTTATTGGATCCCCATACCATAGAAAAAGGACTATCCTTGTTGAATTGTTAGTGTGCAATTCAATATTTTGTTCAAGAACTACGAAAATGTTGTATGTGCAATCTGTAATATGTGTTTCTGATCTTGGTCCTCTTGGTATTTTAGACTTCAATTGTGTGTGTAACAAGATTTCAAGTAAATATTCACAACACACTTCATTTCAAAACGTTAAATTTTACAAGTTCAATTTGACAAGAAAATGTGTAATCGCAAAAGGGGAAAGAGTGTGTCAGTGAAATGTTGAAGGTAGAACCTTTTTTTCATAATGGTGTCCTCTGGATCAACTTGCACATACCTTAACTATTCAAAATCAATTGTTTGCCATCTGCTCGGGTCAATTGTACACAACTCATCATTCAATGGTGTATTTGCTACCTCCTGCCAGCATAGGTATTGCGTAACTCTGTCATTTAAGACTTAGACAGATGGAAAGAGATAGAGTACCCTTCTTTTCACAAATATAAGTTTTTCCTATATGTTTCTTGCATCCTCTCTACCTTCCAAAGGTAGGGTTAAGGCTGCGTATGCACCACCCTCTCCGGCCCTCATTTGTGGAGTTACACTAGGTATGTTGTTGTTCCTTTTTCTTGAATCACATATGCATCATGGTATAATGCAGACACAACCTTTGATCAGTTCACATCCATCCTAAGCGCATCCATCACCTGTCTTAACCATGTCTCTGCCCGAATGTCGTTTCTGCAAAAAAAAATAAAAAATTATCAAATAGATGGAATCATGTCGAATATCAACAAAAAAGAGGGATGCAACATGAGGACTTCGCAAGAGATCACTCATCCTAGTACTACTCTCGCCCAAGCACACTTAACTTCGGTCATCTGTAACAATCTTATTTTGTTATACAAAATTAAATTTTTCTTTCCATGTTTTAACTAGAACTTAAATGTTCAAAACTTACTCTCAACAACAAAAGCTCCAACCAATTTTCGAAGACAAAACATGAATATACAAAAAACCAACCTCACCGCGAATATCCACATCACAGTTCTTGTCGTCATTTCCTCTTCCACCCTGTTTTTCCATGTCTCTTTCGTAACTCGTTATATCCCATTCATACACGCAATCATATTTTCCCATTGTGCTTGCCACGTTATGATCTTCATTTGTATCGATGGTTAAGCTTCAACAAGTAGTTTTATTTATATATGTGTATGTATACCTCTTTCCTTCAGCTAGATAATAAGCCTTCTCCCTTAGTATCGTCTTCTGCCCAATGTGGTAACTCCTGTTTGTTCAGCTTGAATCTGAACTACGATTCAGATCAAATCTTTCTGAAATAGGATTTCCTTTCTGTGCCAACTTGGTAAGTCCCTTTTTCAACTTGAATCTAAACTACGATTCAAATCAAATCTTACTGATATAGGATTTCTTTTCTTGTTATATCCGCTTGGACTTTACTTTTTCCTATACTAATCAAAATCCCTCAAATCTTGATGGAAGAAAGAAAGAAAAACATCAGAATTGTGATGTTTCCATGGTTAGCTCGTGGTCATATCAGCGCATTTCTAGAGCTAGCAAAGGCACTTGCAAAGAGAAATTTCATAACTTACCTCTTTACAACACATGCCAACCTCGCTTACTTCAAACAAACGCTCTCTCGCGAAGAAACCAGACATGTTAAGCTAATGGATATTATACTCCCATATTTGCCTCAACTTCCTCGTACTTTACACACCACAGCTGGCCTTCCACCCCATCTCATCAACACTCTGAAAAAGATCTTCCTTAAGGGAAAACCCGACTTTTTCACCATTCTTGATACTTTAAAACCAGATTTGATCATCTATGATTTCCTCCTACCATGTATTCCATTAATGGCTTCTACATTGCATTTCCCAGCTGTCCTGTTTCTCACCTCTGGTGCTGCAGCAAACAGTTATCACTATCATCTTAGAGATAACAATCCAAGTATTGAGTACCCTTTTCCTGAAATCTTCTTCCAGGATCATGAACATAAGAAAAACAAGAAAGTATTCGATTCTCTCGAGAATGATGGCATCGACGAGAAAAATGGTATCACGAGGTGCTTTGAAAGATCTAAAGGGATCATCTTGATCAAGACTTTCAAAGAGCTAGAAGGTAAGTACATTGATTACCTCACATTTTTGTTTAACAAAAGGTTTGTTCCTGTTGGACCTCTCGTTCGGGCATTTGATCAAACAGATGGTGGGGAGTATAATGATAAGATCATTGAATGGCTCAATGAGAAAGAAAAATGTTCAACAATTTTTATTTGTTTTGGGAGTGAATTTTACTTGTCCAAAGAGGAAATTCAAGAATTGGCACTAGGGTTAGAACTTAGCATGGTGAATTTCATATGGGTAATTAGGTTTCCGGTGAGAGATAAAACGGAGATTCTAGAAGTTCTACCTGAAGGGTTTTATGAGAGAAATTGGACTAGAGGGTTAATAGTTAAAGATTGGGCACCACAAGGGAGAATTTTGAAGCATTCAAGTATCGCGGGATTTGTGAGTCATTGTGGATGGAATTCAGTAATGGAGGCGGTTAGTTGTGGTGTTCCAATTATAGCCTTGCCCATGCAACATGAGCAACCACTTAACGCGAGGTTATTGGTTAATGAGGTGAGGGTAGGATTGGAAATTCCTAGAGATGAAGAAGGAAAGTTTAGCAAAGAAGAAGTGGCTGAGGTTGTAAGAGAAATGGTGTTGGAGAAAAGTGGAGAGAGTGTGAGGAAAAAAGCAAAGGAGTTTAGTGAGAAAATGAGAGAAAATGGAGAAAATGACATAGAGAGAGTGGTGGATGAATTGGTTGATCTTTACAAGAACTCATTAAGGCCTACCTATTACTATAGACGACGCTATTAAAGAAGCCTTGTGTATTATATCGTAAGAGGCCTTGTGTATTGTATCGTATCTTTTTTTTTTTTTCTTTAAGTCTACCTGCTACTATAGACGACGCTACTAAAGGGGCCTTATGTGCTGTATCGTATCTTTCTTTTTTTCTTCTTTAGGTCTACCTACTACTATAGACGACGCTACTAAAGATGCCTTGTGTATTGTGTTGAATCTTTCTTTCTTTTTTTTCTCCTTCTCTTTTTCAAGAATGATGTTTGAATCAACTAGTATGTACTTCAACTGTCTAAGGTAAATGTAATAAAAGTTTGGTCTTGTTTTAGTGCCTATCTTACATCTTACAACAAGAAGTGATGCAAAATATGTATATTAGAAAGAGTGTGAGTCAGGTACAGTATAATAATCTTTTAAGGATTACCTTATCTTATTTTTATGATTACAAATAGATATCATTTAGATGACCTGATTCGTGTAAAAATTATAATAACGGTGTATATAACTTAGAACACTAAAATAGATATAGGCGAAATGGTCTGGTGAACGTTTGTACTTGTATCAATTTATATTTTGAACCCTTCTACTTACCCCTTTGTTATCTGGACCCTTAAACTCAATTAAAATGAGATTTTTAAGCCCCTCCAACCATGTGTGTAGCTCACTCTCCTTTATATAATTGACAGGTCATATCTACGTCAGATATATTAATGTCATATCATAATTATTTCATAGCTATTTTTTAAAATTATTAACCAAAATTATTTAATAAAAGGTAAAATAATAACATTTTAATTTATTTTGGCATTTTTTAAAGTGAAATTCCATACATCCAATTCTCCTTATTTTCATTGTTTCACTATCAAAATTGACTGGAGAAAGCCATTGCCGCCGCCGTCACCATTTTTGCCGGCAAAATCACATATACTTTCTCCCTCACCCGTCTTCATCTCCGCCGCACACCATCACTATTATTCTTTCCTCCTCCAACCTCCACAAAAACAACAACCTAAGCCACTGCACCACCAGATCTGGCCAAAAAACCTCTTCACCACCATGACCGCACCCTCACCCACCTCGTTCTCCTCTCCACAAGCCAGTGTCACCTCTCTCTCACACTCTACTGCAAAACAGTTGTGGCGTGCACCACCAGCGCCGCTTCTCTCTCTCACTCCACTGCAATTCGGTGGTCTTCGGCGAGCGCTAGTCCGCTTTCTCCCTCTGCGGTGAATCAGTGGCCAAGATCTATTAAATAGATGTTAATAAATTGTGGAGAAAAAAAGGAAGTTTGATCAGGCGATGAAAATGGCCAAAAAGGAGGGGGTAATGGGGGAAGAAGAAAGGACTTTTTAATTAAATTTTTAAAAAAATATATATTTCTTTTATAATTTTAATATTTTTTAACCTAAAAAAGTTATTCACTCGCCTTACGGTGCGTGAAGTCACACACTTTTGCCAACTCAGCCATCTTAAAGACACATAAGTTTGGTCAATGGTCAATGGGATTTGTTAAATTGCGTTTTATTGAGTTTAAGGGTCCAGATGACAAAGGGGTAAGTAGAAGGATTCAGAATACAAACTGATACAAGTATAAGGATTCACCAGACCATTTCGCCAATATATATATATATATATATATATAGAAATGTAACTTTATCTCTCCCTCCATGGGGTATGAAAGGATGGCATATGCTTATTTTTCATTATTGTATGTTATCATGTTTCTAATTGCCAAAGAAAGGATTAGGTATTTAATTATAGTAGACTATAGTTGACTACTAAATTAATCACTCAACTCCACTTGACAACCCAATTATAATAAATTATAACAAGATAAAGCCTTCAGGTTGAAAATTGACTCACTTGTAATAGGAAACAAATAAACAATATAATAAAAAAAAAAAAAAGGCTCCTTCAGCCCTGTTATTCTCATTCATTCATGGCTTCTTTCAAACAATTCTCAGAAGTAATATTACATGACAAAGACAGTAAATTTAAAGGTCGAACTCATCGAATTTAACTCGGGGATCCACCTCTACCCGAGGGGGCACCTTTCCGTTGAGCCGAAGGAAATGAAAAATGAGACGAACAGCCAACATCAGATGTCATACAGTAAATTACACAGTACAGGTTACATCCTCTTTACCTCATGTATGAGCCACCAAGAAAATGAGAGGAATTTACAACTCTGCATCAGCTACTGAAAACATTTGATAGCAACAAATAAGTGAAACAACACCAGGAAACAATAGGCCAAAAAGGAAAAATAAATTGTTTCACCAGAACCATAAAACTTTATAGACCTGCCACAGAATGTCTTATCCAGATGAACCATTTATCTTCAGTCCATGCAGAGACGGAAACACGACTTTCACTCTCCCGGGAGTCTGGACAGACTGCCATGGTGTCCTCTCTCATCGACCAAAGCAGCACAAATCAGGTCAAGAATAGATAATATAATGGGAGAATCACATTAAGGGTGTGCCTGGTAATGACAGAAGTCATTTTCCAGAAAATGTTTCCCAAAAGATGACTCATTTTCTCGAGAACAGTAAAAAAAAAATTGAAAAACATTTATTAAAAACTGTTAATAATATTAGCAAATTGGATAGTGCTTTGATGAAACTTGAGTATTAAAGATTGATAATAATATCTATGTATTAGTTAAGAGTTGAGATGATGGGAAGATGAGTCATTCTCCCCTTTTCGCAAAAACTGTTCTATGGAAAATATTTTCTGGCAACCAAATACCAAAAATTGCCTTCTTTTTAACAGTATAAGGATCATCATCTATAATAAAAAATGACTTATTTTATTGAAAATGTTTTCCAAAAAATATTTCCAGTTCCAAACACACATTAAGTCAAGCATAAACCTATTCAAGAAAGTTCAGATGATGAGCAGCAACTTTTGTCATCAATAATCTCGATTTATATTAGATAATAATAACTAGTACTTCACATCATAAAAGTATAATAGGTAAAACCTTCCTTCAAAGGGAGAAATGTATTTCTTGAATCAATATTGAGATAAGTACTGCCTCTGGAAACAGCAAATTTACTTTTAACCTTGCTATACTAAATATTTTCCAAATGTTACAGGCAGAAGGAATATACTAAATCGTGTTTGTCAGCTCAAAGAACCATAACTATACAGGGGTGCTGAAAAGCATACATTTTCGCATATGCAATGTAGATTAATATTACCCTGTTAGTACAAAGGCAACCAATCCAAAACTCTTACAACTGCTAAGTGACGAATATTGTTAAATTTAATTAAGGGCATTAACTGTAACCACCTTCAATTATGCGAACTCTCTCCGTACTAGCCAACAAAAAATAGATATGTTTCTAACTAATGTCTATAGAAAGACAACACATACTTCTCTGTATGCACAGGAAGTCCGTTGATTGTCAAGGGAAAAAATAAGCACAACTTCAATCGGATAGCTAGCAATACACAGACATATCTCATAAAATCTTACACAATAGTTCGGACATCTTATAACTTCACTTCCATTGGCAAAACCAGGCAAAAGAAGTTGAACTTAACCAGACAAAACAAATCATGAAGCTGTAAAATAGTAATAGAACAAGCCATGAATTGTCTTATCTGAGACAGACGTTGCATGAGTCCTCTCTATGGCCAGGAGAGGTGCTGCAAATGCAAGCATCATCTTTGGACTTTAGGAGGCAAAGGATGCATGCATCCCAATGTCGCCCTGGAAAATGCACATGTTCCATGAATAAAAAAATTGAGAAAATAAATACATATGCTTCCAGATTGCGATGAGACCAAAGAAACGAGTAAATAAAGTCCATAAGTATGTTACAACAAGGTGCAACGAATTCACCAAATTCAGTGCTTGATTAGAAGCTTCTGAAGTCTGAACGGATGAACAAAATTGTTTTATTTGCATCAAAAAGATGATGCTCCATATATAAGAGGTACATTACATCCTAAAAGCTAAATGTCTTCTTATGCATGCATCCACTCTGGGTTTCTTACAATTCAGAAAACAGTTATTCAGCAAAAGCTACATGTCTCCTTAATTGAAGAAAGAATTTTGTTTGTAACATTTAGACTTTGACATTTCCATAGCAGGAATGTCATTGACTAGACCATGAATGAGGGAAAAGTGATTTTATACCTCAATGCTGTCACTGGAAAATACAGAAACTACTTCAGAAATAATAACACAAGACTTTTTTCAGTCTTTCATTACAAAGTTCAAAGAAGTATGAATTTAAGAATAATTGAGTCGATTTCTTTCCAGGAATATACGGCATGATAACATAGTTACAAATTGGCCAACTGTCTACAAAGTGGAGATTAACGACCAAGAGAGAATTAACAAATGTGTCACCTATTTTCATGCTTTTACAATGCTACTCAAGTCAAAACACAGATGTGGTCCTAACATCAAAAAGAAAGCCAAAATGGAGAAATTAATTATCAACTGACATGAATACCAGTTCCAGAAGAAATTAAAGTCCTCAGCTCTGTTAAATGTTCGTCATTTGAAATATGGAGTGCGATGCGGAGATTTGTCAGTAACGCTTCTTGTTCCCAACTCAAGGGACCAGAAGCATACAATGCCTCCAAAGTGCAGCGATAAGCATGCAACTCCAAGTCACGAATATTTCCTGCTACATTCTTCTCCGAAGAAAGACGGCAGCTTTCCTCCTCATGTTCTTCTGCTGAACTTTGAAAGGACTCTGCATCACTGCACAGAAGATCAGGTACTTCACAATGAACTTCAGCTGAAAAACTAGAAATTTTATTTGGACTCTCATGATTAATACTACAACTACCGACAGAGCATGCATCACTATCAGAATCATTAGATTCTCCAATTCTTGCAGGGGAATAGCCATTGGTACCACTTCTTTTTGCAGGGTTCAATCCATAATATCCATCTGACCAACTGTTAAATGAAGCACTCACATACTTCTCATCCATCCTATTTCCGTTCCACCTGGTAATATCATGTGTGTCCCCCTCCAAGGCAGCCGGAACTATTTTCCGTCTCTTAAAATCTCTCTCACCTGCCACTACCTCCTGAATGTTTCTAGATGATTCGTCTGGCACCCTCTTCAGCAACACCAAAGAGCTAGCATTACACTTCTTCCTTTTAAGATTTCCTTGAGCAGCCAAATCTCCATCTCTAACATGAAATCCATTCCTAGCACTTAAGACAATGCTCACCTTTTTATAAGATCTTTGAGCAGGAAGCTGGTCAGGTTTCGCACACGTTCCAGATCCCTGTAAGTGAAAACCAACATAGGGTCAATAAATGAATCACAAAGAAGGGTTTTCTTTCCACTAAGACATTTCCTAAACAATGAAACATACAACCAACAATAAGCAAAATGAATCAAGAGAGGTTTGTATAAAAGGCCAAAACACCCAAAAATAAAAGCAAAGCGACATCATTAAGAATTTCTATCTGATAAATTCAATAAATAAGATTGGAGGAAGAGTGGGATGCTTAATTTCTTCTGTCATTTAAATTACTCGCGAATAAAGTCAATATTCAAAACAAAGAACGAAGATGGAAGGGCCAGATTAAAGACTTGCCTTTCCAATCAAGTGCCATTTTTCATCTTGCCAGCATTGTCGCACTCTGGTGTTCGATCTATGAACTCTAATCTCCTGGGAACACCCAGTTGGGTGTACCAAATAATAGTCTCTATTCAAAACCTTCACAATAATAGCAGTTTTCCAACAACAATCATCAAACACCTCAATAATTTGACCACTTTGCCCATTCTCCACACCCTCTGAAGGAAGGGGGCTTGGTCTGATCTCCCTCCTCGAAACCCTCTCACCCCTCGCTTCACTTTCCATACAAGGATAATAATCATACCTCACAGAGTAAGTATGTCCATTACCCGATATGATCTCTGCAGGACACCATGATACAGGTGAATCCTTCCTGTTCATCACCTCAACTTTACTTCCTTTTTTAAACCTCATGACTATAATCCAAACCAAAACCAATAACCTGATTTTTACAAAGAAAACAACAGTTACACATCAGAACCCGAAAAACCTTGTCCAAGTAGAATCAGATCAAACTTATAAATGAACAAAAATGCCATTAAAATCAAAACATATTTTGACTAAATCCAAACTGATACATAACAGAAAAACATCAAAATTGTTTCTTTTACATCAGATGATTCACATAACAAAATTTCTACTCAAACCCCCAAAAATTAACAAGCTCTAAGCACACAAAAAATAAACCCAAAAAAATAAAATTAAAATAAACATAAAAGTACTATTTTTTTTCAAAAATACTAGACGAAATCACATTGATCAATTTTTTAAATAAAAAATTCAATGAACAAACTACAGTAGGCACTAATCACAAACATATATACAAAAACTAAACAAATTAATAACCAAAAATCAAATCTTTACCAATGAATTGCAAAAAAAAAACAAAAATTACGAAAAAATGCAATCGATTCAAACAATTAGGTATAACAAATTCAAACAAAAATACATAAAATTAAAGACCTTTTCTTGAAATTGATGAAATATTTCAGCTTATGAAGTTGTTGATCGCAACTTAGATTGATTTATCGAAGAAATCAAACGAATTTTCGCTTTTTTTTCGATTTGGGTAAATGGTATTTTTTGTGTTCTAGGGTTTGGTCATTAGGGAAGAAAAAAAATATTAAATAAGAAAAAAAGAAAATAATTCAAATATTTATATTTTTTGAGAAAGAAAAAAAGAAAAAATATGGAAAAGGGTATTATGGGAAGATAATGAAATATTTGATTCCAAAATTTGATCCACCAGAAAAACTTGAAAGGGCCCCATAAAAAAATGCACGCTTTTTATGTTTGTTTCAAAGAATATTTTTATGTATTTTATATTTTTAATGGTTACTTACAAGTTACAAATCCAATTTGTGTGACATGAAAATATTCTCCACATAAATATATTTTTTTGGCACACTTGTCGGCCGTCGTTTATCGAGGATATGACTTTAAATAAAATGATATAGAAATTAAGGATCAAGGTAGAAGATTAGATTTGTCTCAAAATAAATGTCATTTAGGAACTTAACAGAAAAATAGTATATTTTCCAATTATACCTTTGTATTTTAAATCACTTCTTCTTAAAGAAACGTCTAATAAATAGGAGTAATTTGGTCAATTATACATTTAATTCGTTATTTTACTTTATAGGCATGAAATGAGTTTTAATGACACTTATTTTGGGATGGGATATCTTTCTATTATCTTATTTTGTGATTCTTATTATTATATTTTTTTCTACGATTAACTTATATTTGTTATCGTTGTTGTT